CGCGACCTCCTGGGGCCCGCGGGTCGACGAGAAGGCCCACACATCGACGGATGTTTGGGAACTAGTCCTTCTCCCCTTCACCCACCAAAATCAACGAGCGCGCTCCACTACTCACAAAGTGCCTACTCGCAAACGTCCGAAAAATACATGCTCCCCTCGATGTAACGGATCGTCAACCCCACGCGTCGGGCGAGTAGTTACTCTGCCAGTAGTGGAGCGCGCTTGTCTACGAATCGGCTGCGAGCCTGGGGGGAAGTGAGAAGGGGCGGGCCTTCTCAGAAGTGTTCGAAGCCTCCCCCGAAGGCGCAGCTGGCGCGCCTCAGAAGCGCCGGCATCTTCTGAGAAGGCATTAGTTTTCGTCCCAGCATTGTTATGAATAATATGATTATTCTTATGACGATTAGCTTCTTATTATTATGCGGCTTAGGATTATTTCTCTTCTTCTTACTACTCTTATTATTATCATTATTATTATTCTTGGTATTATCATTATTAGTAGTATTATTATTAGTAGTAGTATTATTATTAGTATCATTATTATTATTAGTATTATTAATATTATTATTAATAATATTATGATTATTAATATTAATATTAGTATTGCTATTAATATTGTTATTACTACTATTATTAGTATTATTATTATGTGTTTTGCCTTATTGTTTTTCTTCTGATTCTTGTTATTAATACTGTTATTATTATTCCTACGCCCCCCCCCTCGCTCGCCGCCCGAGCACGAACAAGAAGCACGTGGCTCTCACGTCCTGCCCGTCGCGCGGGATGCCCCGCCGAGCCTCGGTGGCGCGGGGCGGCGGGGAGAGGGGAGGTGCGGGGCCCGGGCGGCGGAGGGCTCGCGGGGAGGAGCGGGCAGGGCCTCGCCGCGCCATTGCTGAGTCGGGCGCGTCCCTCTACAGGGGGAAGACTCAAAAGTAGGCAAAAAGTAGTCTGGGGACGATGTTTTACTATGTTTGCGAATTTCGTTGAGCATTTTGGGCCGATTTCCTATGTTTCGTCCAAAATGCCCCTGTAGGGGGACACGCCCGACTTCACGCCATCGGGAGGATCGAGGTGGACGGCGACGACTGCCCAGACATCTACGTCACCGCGGAGCCGCCGGCAGCCAGCAGGGAAAGAGTTGCACTCAGAGGCGACGATAGGAGCGAATTGCCCAGGGGAGAGCAATACATGTACCCAGGGGCGCCGACGATCTATGTCTTCGACAAGGCTCCCGGGCGAATAGGTGTAATGCCCGCCCCTTGGCTATTCGCCCTTACCGTCGCCGATGCACTGGCCGAAGAAGAAGAAGAAGCGGCACAAATGTGATCGTTCGGCGATGCGCGCAGATGTCCTAGATCGACTCTGGGGTCCCCTGACGGCGCCTCCACCGCCGCCCCTGGCGCGCTCCGCTCGCCAGGGAGAGGGGTCCAGCGAGGATCCAGGCAATCCGCGCGGATCGTCGAAATTGTAGATTCATGCTGTTTTTTGTTCCTCGGGGAAGGAGTTGCACGTGCAGTGGTGGAGATGTTAGTGTCCATCGGGCCGTGAGTTGGCGATTGGGGCGGTATCGAGGTGTGGGGCCTTGCAGAGGTGAAGAGGATGACGTCCGTCAGACCGTGCGGTGGACGAGATGGTGGTACCAAAGTGTGGGGCCGCGTATGGGCTCAGATGATGATGTACGTCAGGCCGCGTGGTGTTAAAGATGATGATATCTGTCTTAGGGCGTGTAGGGGTTAAGATGATGGTGTACGACAGGCTGTGTTGTGGTGAAGATGATCAGATACACAGGTGTTGCCATATAGGGGTGAATGTGATGATGAAGATGACCAGCCTGGAGACCAGTCCGAGTGGCTGGGCGGGGGCTCATCCTGGAGGCCCGCGGGGCTGGCTGGGGAAGAAGGAACAGGGAGGAGGAGGGGAAGAGGGAGAGGGGGGAAGAGGAAGGAGAATTGCAAAGGAGGGAGATGCCCAGAGAATGAGAGCCAGGCTTGGGAGCTGCGTCGCGAAAGTCATTGAAGCGAGGGCAAGAGGAGGAGAAGAGCGGAAGGAGAAAGAGGCAGGGAACCCCGGCTCGGAAGCCGGTTCTCGGGGGTGGACGGGAGTTTGGCGTGGAGGCCGGTCCATGAGGTTGGGCGAGGGCTTGGCCTGGAGACTCGTCCGTGGGGCTGGGCGGATGCCCAGCCTGGAGGCCGGGCCGTTGGGCTGGATGAGGAAAGGGGAGCATAAAGAAGAGGTGAAAAGAGCAAGAGATAGAGAAAAAGAACAAAAACAAAAAAGAAGAAACCCCAGCCTGGAGGCGGGTCCTCTTGGGCTGGTCGGTCCGCTGTGTTCTACTACTACTACTACTACTACTACTACTACTACTACGACTACGACTACGACTACTACTACTACTACTACTACTACTACTACTACTACTACTACTACTACTACTACTACTAGTAATAGTAATAGTAATAGCAATAGTAATAGTAATAGTAATAGTAATAGTAATAGTAATAGT